CACACACACACACACACACACACACACACACACACACACACACACACACACACACACACACACACACACACACCTCTCTCTCTCTCTCTCTCTCTCTCTCTCTCTCTCTCTTTCTGCCCCCCCCCACTTCACCCCATGTCCGTGTCAGCTTCGCCGGATTGCTGCTGCGATGGATGTGCGCGACGCGTCAACACGCGCTGCCCTCATCGCCGCCATCAACACGTGCACACCGGTGCAATATGTCGCTGACGATGAGTTGCACGAATGCCTTTTCACGCACATGCAAGACGTTCCGGGCTTTCTTGCAGCCGTCCATTCAATCAAGTCAGCCAATGCAAGCGCATCTGTTGTGCTTGTGCGTGCCTTGTGTTTGTATTTGGTTGCATGTGTGTGTGTGTGTGCGTTTGCATGCACGAATTGGCTGACTCACACACTCACTTGCGCGCTCGACACACACACGCACACACTCACTTGCTCGCTCGACACCTCACTCACACACACTCACACACTTACACTGGCCTCAGGCGGAATCTTGGGCTGTTCAAGTGCATCACCACGCAGCTGCGACGCGAGCAGCAGCCTGTCACCGTTGACAGCGCTGGTGGACAAAACGTCCTGCGCTGCTTCGAACACGTGCCACGTGAGACGGTGCCGCCCCCTGAGATGATGTTCAAGCTGGACATGGATTGCATTGACGCGAGCATGATGCTGCGGACGGATGTGGACATACCGCCGTCGTCGTCGTGTTACGATGTGGCGATGGCACTCGCACAGAGGGTGGGGCAGGCTGGTCATGGTGATGGTGGTGGTGGTGGTGGTGGTGATGATGACAACAACAACAACAACAACAACAACAACGTCGACGATTTCAACGGCCTGATGGAAGTGAAGACGATCAAGCACAAGGAGTACGCAGTCCTACCCGAGTCCTGCCTGCGCGATCCAGACAACGCCCCCTACCTGGCATTCAACCCATCATTGTTTTGGCCGCGCGGAAGCTCCTCCAACATTGCATTCGACTTTGTTTACAGGGGCATGTACGTTGACCAGCTGCAAGTGTATGACCAAATGTTTGGGCCAAACCACGTGCTCATTGTCGCTTCGGAGGACTTGCAATCGAAGCAAAACGAAACGTTTAACGCCATCTTGCGTCACATCGACGTGGAGCCCACGGATGTTTCTTCCATCTCGCAGGACATGATTCACGACAAGTAAGCGGCGCTGTTCCAATGTGTATGTGCGTGTGTCTGTGTGTGTCTGTGTCTGTGCGTCTGTGTCTGCGTGTGTGTGTGTTTGTTTGTTTGTTTGTTTGTTTGTGTGTGTGTGTTTGTCTGTGCGTGTGCGCCTGTGTTTGTGCCTGGTTCTGTCCCCTGATCTCTCCATCTCCCTGTCTGTCTGTCTGTCTATCTCTCTGTCTGTCTGTCTCTCTGTCTGTCTGTCTGTCTGATGACATCGTTTCCAACTCCAAACCCCCTTCTCACCCCACCCACCCCCTCCACCTCCCCAACATAGGATATCTGAGGTCTGGCCGAGCTTTGAAGAGACGTCGGGATGGCGCATGCATTCTGAAACGCAGCACCTGAACGCAACGCTCATGCACGAGGTGTGCAGATTCTTCGGGCTGCACAACAGGCGGTTGGCGCTCGCATATCCGCAGTTGGAGCCGCACACGCGCGCCTGGTCTGACTGCAGCCGATTCAAGACATCGTGGTGATGATGGTGATGGTGATGATGGTGATGGTGATGATGATGATGATGATGATGATGATGATGATGATGATGGTGATGGTAATGGTTAATGATGACGGAATACGTCGTGAGAGTATCAACGCTAAGACTGAGACAGAGACGCAATGCGCGACAGGGGACATACGTGTCTATGCGTACGTGTGAATGTGTGTCTGTGTTGTGGGTTTTGACCTCGATAGTAGTGCCACAATACAGCTTTTGTTTATTGAATTGGGTCTCATATCTACATCATGCGTTGGTGGGTGTACAATAACGCACGCAAACACGCACACACACAACAGCACACACACGCCGCCACAATTGTGGTGCAACTCACTTCCCCTCCTCCTCTTCGCCTGGTTGCTGTGACACGGATACGTCTGTCTGTCTTTCACCGATGTGCCCGCTTTCACTTCCTTCCTGCACCTGCTCCCCTTGTTGCTCTTGTTGCTGCTGCTGTTGCTGCTGCTGTTGCTGTTGCTGTTGTTGGTGCCCTTCGTTCTCCTTTTTCTCTTGTTGCTCCCCACCCTTCTCCTCCTTCTCCTCCTCCACCCCCACTTCCTGCTGTTGCTGCTCGCGCGGCCGCCGCTGTGGTGATGGCGCGTGGGACATGGACGGCAGCTGCTGCAGGAACGCCTGCGTCTCTTCGTCAGCGTGTACCGACGACGGGTCCACCTCAGCCAGCGCAGCGTCGAGGTGGCGCTGGTGCCGAAAGTAGAAGGAGTCACGCAATTTCACGGTGGGTTGGAGGAACAACGACAGTGAGTGGACGTGCAACAGTGATGACATTGTAAGTGGTAACGATGATAAAGACAGCTGGCCGGTTGCTCGAATTGACACGGGGGGGGGGGGCGGACGTGGAACGACAGAGCGAGAACTAAACATGCAAGCCCACCCAATCACATACACACACACACTTGCAGTTCATCAAACCTGCAAGTTGTCAAAGTGCGGAATGGTTGACATGGTCTCCAGCACACTGGCGAAACGGATGCGTGGACGAACACGAGAATGAGGTGAGTTGACGATGGTTTGATCGAATAACAAACAACAGAAAGGTGTGCCATGTGTCAATGAAAGGGGCTGGTGGACAGTCGTTTGTTGGTGTTGTGCTTACGTGTTGGAGTACTCCAGGTCCATCACCTCTCCTTCAATGTCTGCCGCCTGCGCCTCAATCTTGTCCTGTCACAGCAATGACCACCGTGATGAGAAAAAGTTCGGCCAGTAAAACGAGTGGACTCGTGCTGCATATCCAGCAACCACACCAGCACACTCTGGCACACACACACACAAACGCGCGCACACATGAGCAAACCCACACACACACTCTAGTACACACACGCACACACGTGAGCAAACACACAAGCACACTCTAGTACATACACGCACACACGTGAGCAAACACACCAGCACACTCTAGCACTCTAGTACACACACATACACACACCTGGAGGGACATCATGCGCGGCACAGAGGATCGAATGTGTTCTTGAACGTAATACAGTCCGAGCGAGGGCTGGTGCGCCATGGCACACACGAGCCGGCCCGCATCCCGGGTCGCTGTGTGTTGATACGCGCGCGTGTGTTTGTGTTGTTGTGTTTGAGTTGATGTGAACAAGTGCCAAAATGTATTTCCAACGTGATGCCGCCAGCGTTCCCATCACTCAAGCCACACACACACACACACATATGCACACACACACACATACACACACATGCTCACACACACACACACACATGCTCACACATGCTCACATGCTCACATGCACGCACGTTCACACACCTCGCTGTGCTCGCATGGAGTTGATGCTCATGCTTGCTGTGTTGTCAACTTCTTCCACTTGTCCTTCCTGAAAAGTTGTGGGAATCTTTCGCCAGTAATCGTCATTACCGCAACGGTGGTGAACGTGGTGTCGTCGCCTCTCACAACACCCCCCTCCCCCCTCCCCCTTTCATCTGCCCTCCTTCGTCTCTCGATCTGACACACCAAGCGCAACAGGAACGATGCTGCCTCTGTATGATGATGAGGACAAGGTCCATGGCAGGCGTAGCAGCTGGTGGTGCAACTGCTCATGTTCCTGCAGGTGAGTCCGCAACATCCCCGATCACCGTGCTTGACACTGATCGCTTGGTGTTCCTTCTTGCAGTGATGACATTCATCAGCCTTGTCACACAGACAGCTCCCAATGCTCAGTGCCTTTGCCACACTTACGCATGTGCATACACACACACACATCCATGCATACATACACACACCCTTCTGCACGCACGACATTGCTTTTGTTTGCTGCTCATCGTCACGTTGCCTCTGCCTTCCCGTGCAAGGCAAATATGGAGCGATCCGGAATCAAGGAACATCTTCTTGTTTCTCCTCATCAATTTGACCTTTGCCTTTGTTGAGCTCTTCTACGGCATCGTCACCAACAGCTTAGGCCTGATCTCAGACTCCTTTCACATGTTCTTCGACTGCACGGCCCTTGTGGCTGGCCTCGTCGCTTCTGTCGTCGCAAAGCGTCCCCCAAACGAGCGCTTCTCCTTCGGGTGCGTATGTGTACATCTGTGCGTCTGTGTGTGTGTGTGTGTGTGCGTAAATGTGCGTGTATGGATGTGTGCGTGTGTGTGTCTGTGTGTGTGTCTGTGTGGCTGTGTCTGTTTGTCTGTGTCTGTGTGTGTCCGCATGCCCGCATTTGTCCTGCTCTGCTCGCTTGCTATCAACTGATGTGTCTGGTTTCGTGTCTATATTGAACCCCCCCCCTCCTATCGCATGAGCCCGCCTTGCATTCCTCCACATCTCCTTCACGCCCACGCACGCAAGTTCCACTGGGTGGCGGCCATCATCCACTCACACGCCTGACTTTACTTTGTTGATTGTTGCAGGTATCAGCGTGCCGAGGTGATGGGCGGATTCGTGAACGCGCTCTTCCTCGTCTTTGTCGCGTTCTTTGTCCTCAAGGAAGCGCTCGAGGTGAGATATTACAGCAAATGCTCCCACCGCACCGCTGTGTATGCGTTGTTGGCTCCCTAACACTGTGCCTGTGCCATATTCCCCTTCACTGCATCTCATCATCTCACCATCTCCTCATCATCACCTCACCATCACCTCACCATATTCATCATCACCATATTCATCATCACTATATGCATCATCACCACCTCCTCATGTCAACCCCTTTTCGCCATTCGAATTCTGCCAGCGCTTCTTTGATCCGCCACACGTGCACTCCCACCGGCTGCTGCCCGTTGCCATTGCGGGCCTCGTTGTGAACCTGATTGGCATCGTTGCGTTTCAGCACTCGCACTCGCACGGCCATTCGCATGGCGACGATCACGGCCACAGTCACGGCCACGGTCACTCGCACAACCACTCCCACTCGCACGGCCATGCACACGGGCACGCACACGGCGAGGACAAGCCGTCCCGCAGCTTCGTCTTGGATGGTGCGCACAGTGTGTGTGTGTGTGGGGGGGGGGGCGGGCGTGTATGTGTGGGTGTGTCAGCGCATTTCTTTGCGTTTCCAGACCCTGCCTTGTTGCTGTTTTGATCTAAGTTTGCGCCAACGCACCCCAACACTAACCACTTGTCTCCTGTTCACATATGCGCCCCGGCACTATCGCAACTGCGCGCAATGACAGGTGTGCTGCTGCACATTATGGCAGACACGCTGGGCAGCGTGGGCGTGATCGCATCATCACTGCTCATCCACCACTTTGGCTGGATGATTGCCGATCCCATCTGCTCCATCTTCATCTCGGTCCTCATCTTCGTCAGGTGTGCACTTGTGAACGCTCGTGCTTCTGTGTTTATGCGTGCGTGTGTTGTGTGTGTCGTGTGTGTCTGTTTGTGCGCGCGTGTGTTGTGTGTGTGTGTGTGTTTGTGTGTGTGCGCATGTGTGCGCTATGCGATGCCTGTCTGTCGGTATCTATGCGCTCTCTTCTGCTCTTTTGCTGCAGTCCCTCACCACCATCACCATCACCACCACCACCACCATCATCATCATCGTCATCATCATCAGCACGTGGCCGCTTCTTCGTGACTCTGGCGCAATTCTCATGCAGCGCACGCCCGCCCACCTCGAATCAAAGCTCTACACCTGCTACAGACGGGTGGGCACACTCACACCTCGTGTGCAGCGGGGGAGAGAGACAAGACAACGAGCGTGCATGTGTGTTTTGTCTGTCTCCCACCTTCCACTTAACTGTTGCCTATTGGGCATGCACACGTCCACAAACATGCAACCTCCATATGATGGTAACTTGACACTCACTGCCACGCCGTGCCGCTTCCCCGTCGTGTTGTGTTAATTCGGCGAACAGGTGAACCACATCGATGGCGTCATCAGCTACCGCGACCCGCACTTCTGGTGCCTCTCCCCGTACGTACAATGACTCACACACACACACACACTCACACAAACACACTCACTCGCTCGCTCACTCACTCACGCACTCACTCACTCACGCACACACTCACTCACTCACTCACTCACTCACTCACTCACTCACTCAGGAGTTACATTGTTGGATCGCTCTCTGTTGTCATCAAATCGGAGGGGAACGACTCTGCCGTCAGGAACGAAGTCCTGCGCATCTTCAATGACGTGAGTGACACAGACAGCAAGGGATGGGGAGTTGGGAACGGCATCACTTGCCACGGCATGCGTTGAGTGAGGGATGGCAGACACATGTGTTCGCAAACGCATGCACGCTTCGTGTTCCACCTGGCTCACCATGTCGCCTTCACCTCCGGCCATGGTATATATGTCTGCGGGTGTCTGTGTCTGTGTCTGTGTCTGTGTCTGTGTCTGTGTTGCAGGTGGGCGTGACGAAGATGGTGGTGCAGGTTGAGAGGTTCTAGGAAATTGAGGATCAATGACACCTCGGAAGCCACGCACAAGACAAAGGCCATTTTTCGAGTCATGTGATGTTGGAAGTGTTGGATTTGTGTGCTGCTGCTGTGGCCTCACCCGCGGCAGCAGCGGTTTTCTTTTTGTCTCTCGTGTTTTGTTCATTTCATGCACAAGTACCTCCGTTGTCATATCTCGTGTACATATGTATGGCATTTTCATCACCATGCTGCAATTAGAACTCCATGGACTGAACAGAACAACGTGCCCTCAACGCACATGCAAATGAGAGGAGTGCAACAACAATCCCGGGGGTGGGGGGGGCAAGTACAACCACATGACACATGCAAGAGGTGCACTCTCGCCAACCAACCAACCAACCAACGAACAAACGAAGGAACACCACCACTCGATTTGGCGTTAACGCGACTCATCTAGACCAACTATATGGAATGAACAATGAAAATGAAACAACAGAATGACAACAACACACCAAGACCAACTACCAACTACCACCAGTGGGGGCAGTTCAATCATGGCGGGAAGGCCTCCGTCGCCTTGAGCAGCTCGCTGCACCTGCCAAGCACCCCGCCCTTGTCCAACCGCTTCACCTCACGCGTGATCCCTTGCTGCGTGCGCGTCACCCGGAACACAACCGTGCGCAGGTCTCGCAGTTTCTCCTGCAGCTCGGTACTCGATGGCGCAGTCTGAAGCAGCGGATATGTGCACGAGCAGTGGTGGTCAATGTGAGGCAACAAGGCGAAACGGTGGCGATGGGGTGACATGCATGAGACAAGCACCAACAACCCAACACTGTGTGTGTGTGTGTGTGTGCGTGTGCGTGTGTGTGTGTGTGTGTGTGCGTCCTCACCTTCTGCAGGGACTCGACCGATGCGTGGAGGGACTGCATCTCCGCCAGCAGCTGTGCAGCAATGCGTCGGATCTCCTGCCGGTTCCGCGCTTTGCGGGCCGCATCGAGTGCACGGTCGCGCTCCTGACGATGGTAGTGGTGGTGGTCGTGGTCGTGTGAGTCAAGGTGGATGACGATGGTGCAATAGAGCAGGGTGAAACTTACTTGAGGGTGTAGGCGCGCAGTTGCCAAACCAGCACACACACACACACACACACACACACACACACACACACACACACACACACACACACACACACACACACACACACACACACACACACACACACACACACACACGAGCAAGCAAACCAAAAACACACGCACACGCCCAAACAAACAAGCAAACGAACAAACGAACAAACAAATGACCAAACGATCAAACAAACAAACACAGGACCACAAACATGGACGTACCACGAGGATAAACTCGGTTGCAACGTCGTTGAAGCCGATGCTCTCACACGCCTCCACCAGCGCTGCGCGCACGCGTTTGCCGGGCTTCATGTACTCATCGAGGGACGCGCGGTCAATCGGGTACTTGAGGCGGATGGTGCGCATGATGGACGCATACTCGGGCCCCTGCGCTGGAAACTTGCGCTCAGCTCGCCGCAGGTACGAGTCAAACTGACGTCGTGGGTGATGGTGGTGGTGGTCGGCCGGGGGAGTGGGGCATGGAGTGCGTGGGTGTGAGACGAAGATCAAGATTGGTTGCCGATTGCTTGACACAACAGAAGGGAGGTGACAACAACACACATGCACACACATACATGCACACTACATACACATGCACACAACACACACACGCACACTACAATACACATGCACACCACATGTACGCGCGACTGCACAGCTGCATGCACCTGTCGATCTGGGAGGAGGAGCGCGTCATCAAATGGAAGCGAGCGGAAATCGCCATCCGTCGTCGCAGCAGGCAGCGTCGGGATGTGCAGCGCTGATGGTGGTGGTCGTGGTGGTCGTGGTGGTATGTGGCAGTGACGTGAGAAACTGTGTGTACACGTGCAAATGGAAATGGAAAATGCGCACAACAAGAAACGTGCCACACAAGACAGCAGGACCCCGTTGTCACTGTGACACTTACAAGCAGGCAGGGAGCGAAGGCTCGGGTGCCGTGATTGGCGGTATCCTCCCCCAGCCCGCGCGAGCTGCACAGATGACGAGGACGACGATGATGATGACGGCGCGGGCGGCTGATGGGACGGCTGCGTCTGATTGCGACCGCGGCGTCGCTGTGAACCTGTTCATGGATGAATGAATGAATGAATGAATGAATGCAATGCAATGGGGGTGGTCACGTGTGGGACAAGGGGGTGAGACGGGGGTGAAGAGAATGGTGAGGTGCCCCATGAAGGTGGCGGGGAAAAGACATGAGGACGTGCAAACGACACGCATCGCAGCACAACCACGCCATTAACAAGCGAACGAATGTGCGCCCGCACCTGTTTGCTTTGTTTTGCGAGTGCGACCGCCTCTCGATGACGACGACGCGGCTCTTGCAGCGGTTGGTTTGGGAAGCGATGCAGATGGAACTGGAGGGTGTGCGGCCACTGCCGTTGTTGCTGTTGACAACTCTTCATCATCGCTGTCAGAGAGATTGCCAGGCAGCACGTCTACGTGCAACACACGACAACACCAGGGCAAACAAAAGAGAAGGAGTACGTGATGGTGAGATGGGAACATCAATGCGACACAAAAGATGTACCACACGTAGATGGCAGCACAACTTTAGAAATTTATCCAACCTCCACGCCGAACAAACTCACTACAAAGCACACGACCACTGAACACCTGTTAACAGCCCTGAACACCCCTGAACGCCACCAGCACCACCCACCAGCACCGAACACCACGACACATCAACAACAAGGAGCGCACCATCGCCGATGGAGATGAAGACGTGGCCACGGTCTGCGGTGACAAACGCTGCCAACTCCTTTGCGCGGTCGAGCAGCACGCGCCGCTGCACTGCACCTGCAGACGGAATTGGAGGTGGGGGTGGGGTCAATGCAGTGGTGGTGGGGTGGGGTGGGGGCGATGAGAACGAAGGAGATGGGAGATGGAAGACAAGTAACAATAAAAAATAAAAAAAATAAAAAAGAAGAAGAAGAAGCAAAGTTGTGGAGTTGGTATGGGGAATGGAGGTATGAAGGTACATCGTCATGATCAGAAACACCCACCCACACACCCACACACACACACACACACACACACACACACACACACACACACACACACACACACACACTTCTTAACCGCGCAAAACGCACACACACGCACACACACACGCACAAACACCCACACAACGTGCATGCACGCACCTGCTTGTGACTTTGACATAAAGAGCGCTGAGATGCTAGCGCGGGGTTCACCAAGCACAGCGGCCATGAATGAAAAGAGGTCTGTGAGCAGCATGGATTGCGGCACGAGCAGTGGGAACCGCCCACGTCGCGTTCGTCCCTCAAGCTCAAAGGCCGGCTCTGCTCACGTGGCACAGTGGGCGTGCGTGTATGTGTATGTGTGTGCATGTGTGTGCATGTGTATGTGTGTGCATGTGTGTGTGCATATTGTGTGTTTCCATGTGAGTCAACAGGCTGCAACACATCAGGCGAAACGCAGGTGCACCACAATGACAACAACAACAACAACACCGCCAACACCGCCAACACCGCCGCCACCGCCGCCAATTCCTTCTCACCTAAGGAGGCGGACTGGCCAAAGTGCTTGCAAAGGGCGTGTGCATCTGCCTTGAAGGCCGCCAGCGCGGCCGCCACGTCCGTGTCCGAGCCCTCCAGCACATACGTGTGAGGTGTGGTCAACACGCCCTTGAGCGACAGAGTGTGACGGGCCAGGTATGCCTGCAGGGCGTGCAGCGTGGGCACCGGTGTGCAGTGGAGAACTACTCCGCGCCGCTTGCCTTGCTGTGCATGCGCAGCGTAGATGCGAGGCTGCACAAACACATTGAGCACCTGTGCCCTCGTTCCCTCCACGGCCTCCCACGGCAGCGGCTGCGCGGTGGATTTGTCCAGCAGCACATACGAGCGCTTGCCCACGTCCCGGCACACCAGCAGCGCATCGCTCAGCACGGCGTCCGAGCGAAGGGCAGACTTGATGGCGGGGAAAACAGCGGCAACACCTGTCCCGGGCACGCTCACGGCGCGGCTGCTTCTGCTCGTGCAGTGGATGGAGACAACAAGCGTTGCACCAGACTGCACCACGTTGCTCGCTGCAGGGGACAGCGGGTGGGCGCTGCGAATGCTGGCGGAGGTGAAGCGATCCGGCACAACGTGCAGCGCAGCAGTGCTGGCCACGCTGCCTGTTGCTGCACCCTCGCCAGCCGACCTGCTGCTACCCGCCACCATGGTCGTGCCGCCGGTCGTCGTGGTCGTCGTGGCTGATGCGTTGGCTGATGTGGCTGAAGTGGTCGTGGTATCGAGAAGCACCACCCGCGATGTGCTGCCGTTGCCGGCCAGTGGCGTCTTCGCCTCGGCTTTGCTCTTCTGAACCGCCGGGGAAGTGGCTGATGATGATGATGACGACGACGACGATGAAGATGAAGATGACTCTGATGATGATCCTGCTGCCCCTGCTCCCAGTCGCTTGTGTCCGTTCTTCCTGTCGCCACTGGTTTTCTTCATCGTCTTCGCCCCTGCTGATGTTGCTGCGTCTCCCTTTGTTGTTGCTGAGCAGATGGTGTTGAGCGCTTTGATCGCAGCAGTCTTGAAGTGTCCATCAAACACGTCAGACGGCGTGGAAAAGTACAGCGCAATCGTCCTCGTCGCTCCCTCACCATCACCATCACCACCTCCATTATCGCTGCTGCTGCCACTGCTGCGACTGCTGCTGCTGCTGCTGCTGCTGCTGCTTGTCTTTGCACCACCACCACTGCCACGGTACCACATGCCCAGATAGGTGCACTTGAGCTTGGTTTTGTTCAGCGCCATCACCAGGCGTAGGGCCGCGCATGTTCCCGCGAGCAGCGTCGCCTGCACCCGCACGTACCACATGCAGTGGCCATACATCACGGGGAACGACACGCCCTTGTCCAGCACATCTGCATCCGTCCACGAGTTCTCCTCGACCTCAGCCGACTCAACCAAATCCCCCGCCATCTGCAGCAGGTCCAGCGTGCGCAGTGTCGCCGCAGGCCGCGTTGTGCTCGTCAGGTGTGCTGCACTTGCTGGTGTGCTGCACGTCGTCGCGGTGGTGGTGGTCATAGTCGTGGTCGTGGTGGCGGTCGTTGGGGTTGATAGTGACGGCACTGATGTGGATGATGATGGTGGTGGTGCTGCTGTGGTCATGGCGACCGGTGTGCTTGTTGTCGCTGCGGGGTACGGCAACAGCGATGGTGGCGGCTGCTGTTGCTGCTGTTGCTGCTGCATGTACTGTGGCTGCTGCTGCTGCTGCATGTACTGTGGCTGCTGCTGCAGGTGGTACTGTGCCTGCTGCTGGTACATGGCCTGCTGTGCTTGCTGATACGCATACATCTGGGACGAGTGCTGGGGAGCTTGGAACGGGTGCCCTTGCATCTGCCCCTGCATTGCGTGCTGCAGTGCGTGCTGCATTGCGTGCTGCTGTGTTCCCATCTGCATCTGCTGCTGATGAGGTTGGTTGTGCTGTTGCTGGTACATGTCACTACCAGCGGTGCTGTACGCACCACCATATCCACTGATGGTAGTTGTGTTGTTGGTGCTGTTGGTGTTGTTGGTGGTGGTGTTGGTAGTGGTGTTGTTGGTGGAGGAGGAGGAGGTGGTGGTGGTGGTGGTGGCGTTGCCACTACCCGCGGACACTTGCGGCATTGAAGCAGCAGCGACACCTGGCTGCTGCTGCTGCTGCTGCTGTTGTTGTTGTGGATACTGTTGTTGCTGTTGTGGTGTTTGCTGTTGGGGCGAACTTGCTTTCGTTGCCGAGAGGATGGATGCGTCTGCAAGAAACGCCAGCGACGCTTCCGCCTCTGTATGCGGTGTGCGTTGTATCGCCACGCCAGCAGCATTGCCACTGCCGTTGCTCAGTGCTTGCCCAGTGGTCGCTGTTCCTGCTCCTGTTCCTGTGGTTGCTGTTGCTGTCGTTGTCGTGACCGGGGCTGCGCTCGTTGGGGCAAACATGGCGCGTTTGCTCGCGAAATCACTGTCAGCGGCAGGGCGCTTTGCACTCGACATTCCTGCTGCTGTTGTCGCGGCTGTTGTCGTCACAGCAACAGCGACTCCAGGCGCTGGCTGTGGACTGGAAACAAACGCCGCCGTTGACCCCGTTGGCTGTGACACGACAGCACCGCCACCAACACCAACACCGCTGCCGCTGCTGCTGCTCGTGCTCACGGCTGGGGATGACATTGCTGCTGCTGCTGGTGGTGGGGAGGACGTCGTGAGCATAAACTCGTTTTTCATCCCCTCAGATCCCACGGGATACTGCTGCAGTTGTTGATACTGTTGCGGCTGGTGCGCTTGCTGTTGTTGTTGTTGTTGCGCTGGCTGTTGCGGCTGCTGTGCTTGCTGTTGTTGTTGTTGTTGTTGTTGTTGTTGTTGTTGTTGTTGTTGTTGTTGTTGTTGTTGTTGTTGTTGTTGTTGTTGTTGTTGTTGTTGTTGTTGTTGTTGTTGTTGTTGTTGCTGTTGTTGTTGTTGCTGTTGTTGTTGTTGTTGTTGTTGTTGTTGTTGTTGTTGTTGTTGTTGTTGTTGTTGTGGCTGCTGTGGCACCATCTGTGGCTGCTGTTGCACCATCTGTGGCTGCTGCATCTGCTGGGGTGCGTCCACAAGCAAGTGCTCGCTCGGGTATGCCTCGACCGCCAGCATCTGCGTGCATACCGTGTCGTACGCGTGCTGGTACACGCGCAGCGAGGTCATGGTCGTGTGCATGTTGGCAAGGTCTGCCTCGTTGGCGGCGCCAGACGCGTGCTTGCGCTGCTGCATATCCGCATAAAACGCCTGCGTCATCAGCAGCGACTGGATAATCTTGGCCTGAGATGAAGGTGGCAGGAGAGCAGGAGGCGTTCGTGTTGAGAACGAGAGCAAGGTTAGGTGAGGGGTCAGAGTTGGCAAGAGTAGGTCGAAGACCGACAAAGTCATACACATGTTCACGCACAAACACATTCACACGCACAAACATGCTCTCACGCATACTCACGCACTCGATCGCATACACATGCACCCAATCACTCACTGCACACACAATCACACAAGCACGCCACCAGACACCAACATAACACACGGGCATATCTCCTCCACCAACCACGCACCTCCATAGCCAGCCCGAGCATGAGGTGTTGTTTCGTGGTGATGGACGACGGTGCACTTGCTTCCTCGCACACGCGCGCCAGCTGCGATGGGAGGGCGTGGATGGCAGCCGCATACCGCTCGCCGCCCGTCAGCGACTGCTGGATGCTTGCAAGCACGCGGTTCATTGCCTGCAGGGTCTCGTGGCTGCGGCGAGCAGAGGAAGCAAGACAGTGCGTAAGGTGGGTGACATGCCGCTGCGTGCATGCGTGTGCATGAGAGCACGTGTGCGCATGCGAACAAGTGTGCATGGACATTGCGTACATTGTTGACGTGACGGTGGGGACGTTGCCGGCCGCGAACATCTTGAGCGTGGTCTGCAGGAACAGCACGTCCTCCAGCGACGGCGCAGCGACCAGCGGCCGGAACGTGCAGAACAGATCAAGCAGCCTGTGCGTGTGTGTGTATGTATGTGTATGTGAGCATGTGTGGTGAATGTTCGTGTGTATGTGTGTAGATGCATGTATGTGTATGCAGTCATGTGTGTGTTGTGGCAAGTGGCCGAGAAATGAACAACACACAACACGACACCAACATACAACACGACACCAACACGAAGGTCCCCGCCACCACTCGAAAGCAACAGGGCAGGGCGACTGACGCGTAGACGGGGAATGTGCTGAACGAGCGGCATGTCTCTGTCCCGCAGGAGGTGAACAGCTTTGCAACCTCCACCGGGGACCGCGGCCACGCAGACGGCTCCGTGCAGATCAGCCTGGCATTTTGAGGTGATGATGATGATGATGAAGGCAGGTGACGATGGTGAAAGGAGGTGGTGGGCAGCTCGTGCAAAGGAGGGGAGGCTGGCTGATGCACGTTTCGTACCCCACGCAAACCCACCCACACAAACACAACACACACACTCACACCCACACACACTTACACGATACACAACACAAAACACACCATTCGCCTGCAAAGTTAACACCAAACACCCACACACCCATGCACCTATACGCGCACAGCACCAAAGCGAGCGTACCCGCAGAGGTCGCTGTAGAGCTCCTCGGGCATGGTGCCGCTGACGGCGGCTGCGTGGTACTCCATCAGGTGCTGCAGCCACACCTGCGTCGCCGCGTCGGCAACGCTCAGCTTGATGGGCTGTCCAAGCTCAGACGCATCTCCGCCACTGCCGCTGGTGGTGGTGGTGCTGCTGCTCACGTGGGTGGTGACAATGGTGACGGGGCTGGACGGCAGCGGTTTGCCTTGCAGTCGCGTGTTGATGTCGGCAAGCATCGCCTCAAACATGGCCTCGCAGTGCAGTGCCACCCCCTGCGCAAACGTGGCAAACAGGCGCGCGAGCGTGCCCATGGTGCGCTGGGAGACGGGCACGTGCGGGGTTGGAAACAGCTGTGGTGATGGTGGTTGAATGGACACGCACAGCTCGCCCGCTGTAGGTGTCACCGTCGCTGCTGTCGTTGTTGAGGGTGCGGTGGTGGACGTTGATGCAACTTGCTTCCAGACGACGTTGGTGACAAGACCAATGTTGTCCATGCTGCGCATCCTGAGCGCAAGGAGGCGTGCCAGCGCGGCAGGTGGGCTGGCAGCGGTCACCACCGTTCGCGGACACGCGCCAGCGGTCTGCAACAGGTGCACTGCATGCAGGATGGCATGCTCGGAGATGAGGCAGTCGCTGCCGTTGCGGGTCACGCCGGTGGAGATGGCCTGTAGCCACAGCGGAACCTGTACACTTGGCTGTTGTTGCTGCTGCTGTGGAGAAGCGGCCTTGAGCAGCTCTTCTTCGCAGATGCCACACAGGGTGGCCTGCACAATGCGCTCCACGTACACCTCAGCCATGCTGCTGATTCGTGAAAGCGCTTATCAATTCACACCAAAGGGCTGCTCAAGGTCAAATACACATCATCCACCAAACGCACAACGCAGGCAACGAACGTGCGTGAGTCGAGGGCCACAATGAGAGCAGGAACATTGCAATGAGAGCAGGCACGTGCATGCGGGGTGATCAAAGGAATCTGCAGGCCAGCAAACAAGGCTGCGACCACAGCAAAATGGATGCGCATGGCATCTTGCATGGCGTTTCACTGTCGACGATGCACCCACATGCAGAACAACAACAAAACAAGAACGTGAAGAACCCGAGCAGATGCAGAGAACACGAAACGCTTGAGACATGTACCTGAGGTGAATGAAGCTGAGAAATGTGACTCGTGTTCTGTCTGGTTTGTCGCCAATGGGCCGTTGAGACCGCGATGGGGAAGGGGGGGGGCCGTCACACGGACCAAAACTTGTCCAAAGCGACGAAAGCGATGCAAAACAACCCAACACCAAGTCAACGGGTCTGGCAGTGTCAGTGGAGCGGAGTGGAGCGCAGTAAAGCTGGTGCGCAAGCAAATCCCCCGGACGTGAACAAAACACACACACCACAAGACCGGACTCTGTTTCAACGGCCTAGTGTTGCTGCTGTTCACACAACAAAACAAAACACCGCGCGCGCACACACGCACACACAATCAATACAACACGTGTGTCGATGTCTCGTGTGTGCACTGAAGGTAGCCAACGGGTGGTCGTGGCACTGTTTACAGCAGCCCCCTCCAAGGCCAAAGCAAGACCACAAAGACAATCGTGGCACCACCACACCAACACAGGAGGAGAAGATAGGCGTTTGTTGTTGTCTGGTTTTTTTTGCTTGTTGTGCTCTGGCTGGCTGGCTGGCGGGTGTCCGTGTGTTTTGCGGTTGTGCAAGCGACGCCCGCCGAAAGGAAATAAATCGAAAGATGCCCTCGGATTTTCATCGGACAAAACCAATGCACTTTGTGCTGTTGTATTTGAAGGTGGCTCGCCCGCCGGTGGTTGGCCGGACATTCTTTCATTTCACCAAGCGAGTCAAAGCGGTTACGTGATGAGCGACGAGGAGCAGACCAGAAGAAGTGGTGGTGGTGGTGTTGATGTGGTGGTGGTGGGTGGAGGGGCGGTTGGGGTGTGCACGGCGTACTACCTGAGCTCGCTTGGGCGTCGCGTGGCAGTGGTTGAGAAGACAGGGGTGGCTTGCGCGGCGAGCGGGAAGGCCGGTGGCTTCTTGGCGAGAGACTGGTGCGATGGCGGGCCCACAGAGGCGCTAGCTCGGGCGGGCTTCGACTTGCACGCCTCCCTTGCGGAGGAACACGACAACCCGTGGGAGTACCGGCGGCTCAACACCATCGCTGTCAAGCACTTTACGAGGTCAAAGGACAAAGTACGCACAAAGAGCACGCCTTGGATTGATGGCTCCTCCTCCAAGGAGCAGGTCCTTGGCACTCCAGAAACAACAGCCCAAGTCACCCCGGTACGGTGTGGTCGTGTGTGTGTGTGTGTGTGTGTGCGTGTGTGTGTGTGTGTGTGTGTGTGTGTGTGTGTGTGTGTGTGTGTGTGTGTGTGTGTGTGCGTGCGTGCGTGCGTGCGTGTGCGTGCGTGTGTGTGTGTGTGTGTGTGCGTGTGTGTGTGTATGTGTGTGTGTGTGTGCGTGTGCTCTCGTGTTTCTCCCTGCTTAGCTCTCCGCTGGTCCATTGCTGCTGTGCAGCCCCGCCTCTCACTGCATTTGCATGTACTCGACCAGGGCAAGTTTGTTCGTGCGCTGATGCAGGCTGCGCAGAGCCGTGGTGCTGTGCTTGTGGAGGAGGAGGTAACCGGCCTGATCACTGCCGAGGGTGACGGTGACGGCAGAGAAGGGAAAGGTGGCGAGGCAACCACAACCGCAGATGCCACCGCAGATGCGAGGAACCCCCGCATTACTGGGGTGCGGCTGGCAAGCGGGCAAGAGCTGCGGGCGCCGAAAGTGGTGCTTGCAATGGGACCGTGGACACACGTGGCACGAGAGTGGCTGCGCAGCGTCCCTGACATTACGGGCGACAAGGCTCACTCGATTGTCCTGCGGCCACCACAAGACAGCGGCATCGACGCCACAGCGGTGTTTATCGGCTACTCGGACAAAGGCAAGATGGAGCACCCTGAGATTTACCCGCGACCAGGTCCGTGTCTGCGTGTGTGTGTCTGTGTGTCTGCGTGTGTGTGTCTGCGTGTGTGTGTGTGTGTCTGTGTGTGTGTGTGTGTCTGTCTATCTATCTGTCTGTCTGCCATTGCACACGTCTCGTTCAATACCTCACACACACACACACGCACACACATACACGCACATACACCTTGCACCACACGCCTCTGTGTCCACTTGCATCCGCCTTTACTAGATGGGTCTGTGTATGTGTGCGGGTGCGGCGACAACACGCCTCTCCCGCCGTCTGCAGGCGACATCACACCAAGCGCAGGGCGATGCGAGGCCCTCCGTGAGATTGCTGGCCGCCTGTCGTCCCACCTGCACGGGCTTGTGCCGGAGACAACCCAGGCATGCTACCTTCCCATCAGTCCGGATGGCCTGCCTGCTATCGGGGAGCTGTGCAGTGGCCTCTACGTCGCTGCCGGTCACTCCTGCTGGGGGATCCTCATGTCCCCTTCAACGGGGCGTGCAATGGCAGGTCCGTGTGGAGACGGAGAAAGCGAGTGTGTCTTTGTGTGTGTCTTTGTGTGTGTGTGTGTGTGTGTCTGTCTGTGTGTGTGTGTGTCTTTGTGTGTGTGTGTGTGTGTGTGTGTGTGTCTGTGTCTGTGTGTCTGTGTCTGTGTCTGTGTCTGTGTGTGTGTCTGTGTCTGTGTGTGTCTGTCTCTCTGTCTCTCTGTCTCTCTTGTCTCTCCATCTGTCTGCCTTGCTGTCTGTCTGTGAGTGTCTCTGTCTGTCCAGTGTGCGGTGAACCAAAGTTGCGTCACTTGTTGTGACCTCACATCGCCCCCTGTGTCTGCAGAGTTTTTGACCAGCGGCGCCGCAACATCTGTGGACATTCGCGCATTTGATCCCAAGCGACTCATCTAACCAGCACCACGACTCGAACAACACCAACACCAACGACATCAGCAACGAATTCGTTATCTGCAGCATCGAAAGGAGCAGGCAACTTGACATTCCCGTTGTGATCGTCATCTCATGTGCCAGCGAGTGCCTCATTCAATGTGTTCGCAGCGCACTGCACTGTGTTACGCCACCGACAGTTACTACCACCCGACACCACTCTTCGTCTTATCATCAATCTTTTTTTTTATGTGTCACCATAAACAACACGAGACAACACAAGGTACTGAGCGCACGGTGTGGTGAACAGGATGAAGGTCGCCTGAAACACTATCGATCACTCTCTCACTCTCTCACACACGCGCACACAACTGGCATTGCAGACTCTTGTTTATGTTGGGTGCAAACGACTCACAAGACATGAAGCTCACTCGCACATCCGCACATACGCACGGTGCCAAACGCAGTGTCAAACGCAAATGGAAACACAGCCGTGGTGGCAGACACGTTGACGCAACACACACACACACACACACACACACACACACACACACACACACACACACACACACACACACACACACACACACACACACACACACACACACACACACACACACACACACAAGTGGTATCGCAGCAAAACCACCGCCGCCACCACCACCACCACCACCACCACCACCAACGCCACCACCACCAACGCATCCACAATCACGATCAAGTCACCAAAATCATCACGCCATGTCCTCCTCCTCATCGCCCTCGGTTCGCAGGCCAACCTGCACCAGGAAGTCCTTCTCCGTCTTCTTAAACTCCTCATACACAGCACGCAGCTCCCGCTTATGGTCCGCAGCAGCATCGCCGCCAGGGACTACAAGCGTCACGTCCCCGCCAGCCTGCATGGTGGCACCAACACCACCAGCGCCACCCTGCCCCTCGCTGTCGTCGTCGTTTGTTGCCCGGAGCGAGCTGAGCACCTGCACCACCAGCATCACTCGCTGGAACAAGAAAATGTACCTGGTGAATTGTCACGGATGTGTATGAGTATGTCATAGAGGAGTTGGGGCACGTGCGCAGTTGTGTGTGCGTTCGTGTGTGTGTGTGTGTGTGTGTGTGTGTGTGTGTGTGTGTGTGTGTGTGTGTGTGTGTGTGTGTGTGTGTGGAGGGAGCATGGATGTGGGTCAAACCTTCTTGCTGCGCGGCCATCACTCTCCAACCGGAGCTTCACATCGCCGTCAATTAGCAGCCGCCCGTGATCGACCTGCAGTTGAGTGAGTGAGTGAGTGTGCGTGTGTGTATGTGTGAGTGAGTGAGCGAGCAGTGTGTACTCTGGGCTGCATGCACTGTGTTCCGACTTACCAATGGAACACAGCCACTCGTGCCGACGACATAGTCTTTTAAGGTGTGCTCAAGCCGCTGTACAATAGCTGTTGCAGACACACATGCACACATGCACACAAATACATGTGTAATGAGTTAGAAGGGTGAGGGCAACACCAGCCCGCCATTCCTCATCTTCCCATCCCGCCCCCTAATTGCACGACAGCAAGCGGCATCAACACCGTGAACATGCGTTCAATTCAGACCACCAACGCCCCCTTGAGCAGCACCCAGTGCGAGCGCACCGTAGTTCTCAATGTCGTGCTTGCACTCATTGACGTGTTTTGCGACGTCCTGCGTTGTGCTGAGTGCGGACTGCAGGGCTTCCAGGCGCGGGTCCTCCGCCGCCGTCAATTTGACGAGCTCCTTCAACAACAGCGGATACCGCAGCACGCGCTGCATCG